ATAACTATTATAAGTTGTTATGAATAATACCCACCAAAAGAAAATTTTATAAATTCATTTTATTTTATTAATCAATTCAATAAAAAATAAATTAAAAACAATGAAAAATAATATATTATTTTCAAAACATTAATTAGCTTGGCGGGCCGGATCCGGCCCGTGGGCCGTAGGTTGGAGACCCCTGGTGTAATATAAATTAAGAATTATATTTTAACAGTTGGGATAACTACAATATTTCCCCCTTAAAATCGCACCAAAACGTCGTCTTCAATAAAGGATATTTTACCGTTGGGGAGGACGTGCATTGTGCATCAGCTCGGACCGGTTCGGGAAAAATTGATACGGTTGCGCGTATTGCACTTGGCAACACTGTGAAGCCTGAGTCAGTTGCGCTAAAACCTCGCCCTCCGCTTAAACAACGTCCGCCAACCAATACCAGCTGAATACCACGGTACCACTGACTGGCACTGACCGAGGAGGTTTATGGTATGCTCGGTGAAGCATCCGAACCGATTACCGAGCAACCGAATACCGATAGCCTGTATTCTGTAACTGCCAAAGTGCGAGCGCCGAGATACAACGCTCGTTTTCCGGCGTCCTGTCCGGGTTGCCTAGCATAAGTGCATGATTATTTTGACTAAATTGACTGGTCTGCAACACTTGGCAGGATAACTTTTTGTAAACACTCTATTTTGCAGTGTTCCGAGCGCCCGCCGCGCTTTTTAAAGGACGGTGGTCACGGTACGTCTTCTATTATATCAACGACTTATCGTTTCGTCTGTTATCCGTTTGGCGACGGTGAAGTCATAGTACCGTGGCTGTGAATCGGAATTAGCTGCAGGGAAATCAAGAGATTTTTTTTTCTTCTTCATCGTCGTCGTCAGAGCAATCGAGTCGCCGAATGTAGTGTGTCGAACAGGGAACTTCAGGAAAACTGCACAAATATTTATCTTCTATCTATGGCGCCAACTACTAGAAGAAGTGAGTAACCAGCTTCCCCTTAGACTGGATTATTATTTTTGATGTTCATGAATCTAATACATTTAAAATTTTCTGGGACAAGGTGCCAATTACTAATAAATTATTGGTCTTTAAGTACCTACCTAAATTTGATAATGTGCAACTGAATCAAATGCTTGTAATTGCTAATACTTTTCTCTAAAATTTAATAGCTATTATTCATTTTTAAAACTGAAGGTTAATGAAATATTATAATTTTGACAGGTAATGGTGTGGCACGTAGGCCAACAGCTCGTCAACCCATACCCAAAAATGTGTTGGTAGAGTTAAGCCCCAGTCACAACAAAGCGTGTATGTTTTGTGGTCAGAAAGAGATCAGCGAAAAGTTATATGGGCTTCTCTATCAGCTCAATGATGTTATTTGTCATTACTTTTGTATTGTAAATACGTTTCTTCAAATATTAATAAATTATTATTAAATGATAACTATACATTTGTTTTCAGTTATTATCATCGAGGGCCATTCAAAATGGAGCTGACAGAGAGGGCATTTGGGGATTTTTATTAAAAGATATTAAGGCTGAACTAACCCGAGGATCTAAAGAAGTATGTTCTTTCCATATTATGTAATGTGTGATGTATATTTAAATTGTAATTGTGATTTTAGACTTGTGTCTATTGCAAGAAAAAGGGTGCAACAATATCATGTTGTGGAGTAAAATGTCGAAAAATTTTTCATCTTCCTTGTGGATTGAGAAATGGATCTATGCATCAATATTTTCAGTCATTTAAGTATATAGTTAATTTTTATTTATATACCTATTGTCCTATTTTGTATTGCATTCTCATTAAAACAAATATTTTTAGATCATTTTGCCAACAGCATCGTATAACGCAAACCATAGATTTAGCAGAATTACAAAACTCTGCTCCTGTACAATGTGCTATATGTAAAGATGATGTTATACCGTCTCCATTACCAACTTCTATTTGGGCACCGTGTTGCAAGCGTAACGCTTGGTTTCACCGAGGATGTATTCAAGATCTGGCATTAAGTGCAGGCTACTTTTTTAAATGCCCATTATGCAATAATGTTGAAAATTTCAAGTGCAGGATGCTCACCCTTGGAATATATATACCATCACGGTAATTAATTTTTATTTATTCTCATATTTGAAAATTTATATAAATGTACAGAACTAAATAAATTAAATATAAAAACTATTCTTGGATCAAAAGTTCATTTTTCAAATACAAAATTATACACAGCAAAACATTTCAATTCATATAAGTAAAATATGTAGAATCAATTATAATTTGAACAATTTTTTTTTCTTAATGTGTCGTAGAACTACAAGAAATATTCTACTTCAAAATATTGTCATTCAATAAATTAAAAATTCAAGCAATAAGAATTTAAAATTGTGCCTTTTAAAATCTAAATTTGTCCCAGTAAAATTACAATTTCAAAAGTTTAATGTAATATTTACTTTATACAAATATTATGCTCTGTTGAGGAAATTTATTTTTATTTAAGTAAACTGTGAACTGTAGAAGTTAATAGTTATGTACATATATATGGTATGAATATGCGTACACGGATACGCTCATATAATTTTTATACTATATACAGTTACCTGAAAAAATTAAATCACAGGGACGCCTCTTGGGAAACTGTGCCTAACGCTTTTGCAGAGCTCTTAGAAAGACATAGTTCGTGCAATGCTCCAACCTGCCTATGTCCTCATCCAGATAAGCGAACTTTTCAACAAGAGTCGTAAGTAATTTGTTTTTAATAATATAAMTATATTTATTTTACACCTCAACGATAAATAATACTCTAAATTAATAAATCAATGTTTGCGTTAAGGTATAATTTTTGTAAATTCAAAATTCATAACAATTTTATTTAAATTTTTTAAATTTTGTTGCATCAAATTTAATGTATAAGTAAATTTCTAACCATCAACAATAATTTTATCAATCAATAATTGTCATTAAATTAGATATTAAAAACAGTGCTGATCAAGAGTTTAATTAGTATTATATCAAAAGTCACCATCACATATTACCATACACCATACATACCTATTTTAATTATTATTTATAAAGTTATCTATTTTCATTTGCTTGAGATTCCAAGAATGTGTTTCAGCGAGAAAGTTTCCTATTTTGTAAATATCAGCCAACATTTCTCAAGAATTTTATATGGTGGAGAGAATTTTTCGTATTTCTGCTAAGTGTTGCAAATTTGCAGTAATTATAGAAGTTTAGATACTTAATTGTCGTTTTCTTTCTCATTTTTAACTAAGTTTGTATCAGATAATTTAGTCTTAATCCCAAGTGCTACTAGTGTCTGGTTAAGAGTTATTCATAATCTGTTGTATAATCTAAAAAAAAATTATAGTAGCTGAAAGCTCTCTTCAGAGTTCAACACACTAAACGTAGCTTTTTTAAAACAGTTAATGTCTGTTCAATAATGAACTGTGTCAAAACATTGACCTGAATTGAATTTTGATTGGTACTCAAGAATTGCTGAACTTATTTTTTCACATTAATAATACCCTGATTTAGATATTGCGACATAGATGTATTTATGGTGGCAGGAAAGCAAGTTTTATATTGGTAGTTGAAAATGTTGGAGTATGTTTATAAGCTAGTCAGTTGTCTATGGATAGAATAATTTTTTCTTTTGGTTACCAAAAAGGATGAGCTTTTGAATCCAATTCATGATACGCTTTCCTATCATTCAAACATTGTTTATTTACATGTGTACATACAAACATTTTTGAAACAGCTAGAAGAGTTACTTTTTCCAATGTCCACTTTGATCCTAACTTCAGGTTGTGAGTACCAGCAGAATTTATACATAGTAAATACTAAAACAGTGGAGTGCTCCTTGTTCAACTTTCCACAATGGCATGTATTTTTTTTTTAAATATGAATTTATAAAAAATCTAAATTTATTATTATTTTATACATCTTAAAGAGATTGAATCTCCCAGTAATAGAGGTATCATGTTTTCTTTCCATGAAGCAATATTGTCGTTATTAACAGATTCAGTTTTACTTGAAATTTGCTGGTATAGTGGGTACACAATGCCTACTTTGAAATCTGTCTAGTTTACCAGTTGATTCACTTAATTCGAAAATGTTGAAAAATTTAACAATCCCAATACCCCTTTCTATGATAACACTTCCATGTTTTATTGGACAATTTGAACTGTGAGCATGTTGAAACATTAAAATATTTTCCAATCCTTTTTAATACTTACCTATTTTGCTTTTGGTCTGTTTACCTATCTGTTTTATTCTATGGCATGGCTATTTTCAACAAAGTTCTTAAAGTAGAAGGAAGTTTATCAGCAATATTTTTATTTTTTTTGAAATCAATGTTGCCTGTACTACAACTATCTATACCTAAATAACAGCACAAAACAATTATATACATGATAACAAACTGCACTATATTTAAATTTACAGTCTGATAGAATACTTAATAAAATAAGTATTAAACTGTTAAGTAGATATAATAGAGTAACATTTCTATTTTCATTTTTTCGCAATTACTGAAATGTTTAAACAACTACTGAACAAAAAAGTGTCTTACCTGCTTAGATAGAGTAAAACCAAGTGTCTTAACAGGTGGTTTTTACATTGACTAGTGTAACAAATGTCTAGAGATAAATGGAAAATAGTGTCTTAAGTGAGTTCTACTATAGAGTATAAACTAATTAAACTAGTGCAGTTGTGTTATGACAATTTCTAAATTAATAGCAAGTAATGAATCAGGGCCAGATTTCATATTATAACCAATATTTAAAAGACCTTATAGATTTCATTTTATGGAATAAAAAAATGTTTCAAATTAGTGTATAAATATTGCTTTGTTGGACTGTTGTTTTTATTAAAAATTTCTGTTCATTATGCTGTAAATTAGAAAAAAACATGTACATAACTGGCAGTAGAATGTCAAACACTTAATGTTTATGTATATATTTATTATGTTAATAAACAATACTGAAATACACAAAATTGAATAAAATCATTGCTTAATAAGGGTTTTGATTCTTTTCTAAAGTAACTTTTCAAGATAATAGTTGAAAATATTTATATTTTGATAATTTCTAGTATTTGGACTTCATAAGACTTTTTTCTTATATTTATAAATTTAATTWAAAAAAAAATAAAAAAAAAATTCTCGTTTAATTAAAATAAATATAAACAAACAATTATTAATATGTTATTAATACATTTTTTATTTTTTATTCAGTGGTTCTTGGGAGATAATACTCTGCCATACATGTGGTTCAAATGGAACCCATAGATTGTGCAGTTCCATCAAATGTGATCAACGCTGGTACTGTACAGCTTGCCAAGCTGTTGCAGGTATGTTTATTATAATTGTATTTATTATATGCTAATATGATATACTTCTTGAAATCTTCTCATATAAATGGACAACCAACTGAAATTTCACTTTTATAAAGAAATCCCATTTACTCATCTTAGTTGTATATTATATTATAGTAAGATAGATTATTTTGTAAATTATGTGTAATTATGTGTACATACATGTATGTATATATTATATAAAACATATTCTGCACTATAAATTGTTCATAGTTTTTTTTTTATAATAACTCAAAATTATTATTGGTTTTTATAAAATAAAGATGGGAGAATGAAACTGCAATCATATAATTTAAGAATATAAAATGTATAAATATTAATTATTATCTATTTGACTTTTAAGTAGGAATAAAAAAATTGATTCATTCAAAAATGAAAATATCAGTTTAACCATGTAATAAACACATAAAAGGCATTGGTCCACTGATATTCATTGTCTACATAATTTGAGATTTGAATAAATTTTTTTAAGCATTGATAATGAATTTTAGATGATACATCAAGAATGAAGAAAAAACGATTAGAGCTACCTATTGATGGAAATTGTAGTGGTATATCAGTTATGTTTGGAGATGGAGTGTTGTCTCAAGATAGACAAGTGTCTCAAAGGCTTAATAATACTGGAATTATACGTAATGTTGTTCCTCGGCCGCAATCAAATGAACCCATAGTTATTTCTGATGATGACAGCAGTGATGACTTGGAGGTAATACATGTTGAATATTTTCAAATGTATGTTATTGAAATATTCACACATGATTTTATTAATCTACCTGTACACAAATATATCATAACTTATTTTCAGTATTTTAGTTACTTTTACCAGTAAAATAATGTTTATTAACCATAACATTTAGACTATTTTAATAACCATTACAACTCAATTACACAAGATTCTTCTTGAAGAATATGATACATTTTTTATTTTATAAATAACTGTAGTATATAACTTTTAATTATAAAGGAAATTTTTCAATGATTGTTTAACTTAAACTTAATCTACTAACTTCCTGATAGTATGTTTTTTTTTATTTTAGCATTTGCTTAATTAAATTTAATTTATCGAATATTGCTTAATGTACCAGTCTTGTTTAATTATTCTATTGAGAGGATGCCACATTCGTATTTGTTGTCTCAGTCTTACAAATGTGTAACATAGAAAATTAACGCTCAGCAGATCATGTTTTACTCCGTTAGTTTAAAAATTAGAGTGAATAGATTTATTATAAAACTTAATTGTAAGAACCTTATCTGTGTTTTTTTGGAAGTATTTTTATGATAATTCAGTTTTTTAAGTGAGTTATGTGCGTATTATAAATTGTAAAATGCTCATAACTCACTTAAAAACTAAATTATCGTAAAAATACTTCCAACAAAACAAAAAATGTTTGTTACCATCAAGTTTCATAACAGGTCTATTTGCTCTAATTTTTAAGCTAATGGAGTAAAATGTGAACTGCTAAGCGTATATTTGCTATGATACCGTTAGTAAGACTGAGACAACACATGCAGGTGTGGCGTCCTCTTAACTGTCAAAATAAATAAATTTTAACATTATAAATGTTTAATTATTTTTATAGATGGTATCCTATATCAATCCACCAAAACCACCAACACAAATGCAAACTCCTCAAATCCGATTGCCAATTATAGCTAGTTATACATCGATGAGTACAGGTTCTACTAGAAATCACTTTAATCGTAGATTCCCTGTTACTACAAACCAGACTAAATCCTTGACATATGTCTTGTCAGAAAGTAAGTAATTAAAATACTTAAATGTTAGTGAAAATATCTGAGCATCATTTAGTTTTTACATTCCTATATTCTTATCGTGTATAAGAGTTACCTTTGGAGACGATAAATTTCTATCTAGTCTGATCAAAACACTTCTCAATAAAATATTTCTATTTTATTGAGAAGAATATTATTTTTTTTGTTTAGAATTGATTGAAAATATAGTACATAATATAATATTGTATTTTTGCAGGTATTGATCTAACTTCAGATGATGATGAAGCTCAAAATAAGACATGACATATATTTATTTAGATGATTAATTGGACTACCAGTTCAGTTTAATATTTTATAATGTTCAGATTGTATGAATTATGCTTACCATGAAGCAAGTTATACAATTTAAGACTGATAGATTGGATTTTCCTTCATTTTATTTTTTCTATGTATATTATATAAGTTACTTACCAGTTTAAACTGCTATCTGCTACTAAATGTAATAGTTTTTACCCAATTTTAAATATTTTAGTTAATTACTATGAGTGGAATAAAAACTATAAAACATTGCCCATAACTATTCTAAAATAACTAAGGAAGTATGTTATATTGTTTATAATATTTGATTGTATTTCTTTTTAATTTATTATTTTGTGACCAAGTTTTTGTTAAAACTGTTACATTTTTAAGTTTTTAACTATATGTATTAAGTATTCAAGTTTATATAAAAAATAAAAAAAAAAATAAGTGTGTATTATAATAAAGTTTATATATTTTGATGAATAAAAAATTATAAATCTTCCTTGTAATATAAAATAACATGTTCATTGTGCAACTATTCTGTACAGCATTAAATCAATTTATTGAGATCTTCGAACCTGTTGTTTTAACTTTTGATGTTCTATATCTAGTTGTTTTCTAATATTCCCTAAGTTTGATAATAAGTCTTTATCAGTCGGCAACTCATGTTTAATTCTTAATTTTGTATCTCTTGATACCTAAAAAATATAAAATTTAATAACAATATTAAAGTTTTTGTAGATTAAAATGATGTAGTTGATATTACTAAAATAAAACTATACCAACTAATGTAATATGTGTAAAATATACAAAATAAATACATTTTAATTAGCTTATCTGTCATTGTATTTCAATAATAATTAGATAAAAATTAACATTGGGATGCATTTGCTTATACTTACTGACTGATAATATCAATGACAAATACAATATTATCACAATAAAGTTTAATGATATTATTTCAATAGGTAAATTGACTGAGACAGAGTAAGAACCTATGTAAATAATTTTAAAATATTAATATTTTAAAATTCCTAGTGTATGACCAATAACACCAATGCATGACTTTGAGTACAATACTGAGTACAAATCCATAACTAATCAATTAGGCCAGTTAAGTATTAACTTTAATTTTAAATTAAATACTGGGAAAACTAATGTTGGTTATTGAATTGTTCAATCAAATAACTAATTTTAATAGTTACAATTTATTTTAGTTTTAAAATTATCAAAATTTGCTTTCTTTTTTCTAAATTTTGAAATACTTTGGGTCTATTCTGTAGTTGAATATTTTACTTGAAACAGTCAATTAACACTGAAAGACTAAAATCTATAACAAAATAATTTACTTTGTTTAAGATTTGATGAGAACATTAAAACTAAGTTTTAAAATGAAGGATAGTTACTACATGAACCTATTAATTTAATAACTTACATTATTTAATATTTACGGCGATAATACCATTGAGAATCAACCTGTACATATAATATTACTGATTATAAAGGTGTACAAAATTATAACTCAGATAAAAAAAATATGACAAATATTTACAAATAACTAATCATTTTTTTCATTTAATCATTTAACAAGATTTTGAATAAAAAACCTTGTTAAGAACAAACATTTTTTGGGTATTCAATGATACTAGGTATCCAAAACAGTTTTCTACTCTGTAAAATATTTTATATCTTTAATAAGTTTCGAAAACAATATATTATAATTTAATTTCACTGCAATAAGCAATAAATATCAAATGTTCACAAAAATATGCAAATTCATTAGCTTGAAACTATCACAATTTTTAAAGGTTATTTGCAAAAATCTAAAAGTATAAAAATTAAAGAAAATATATTATTGTATAGAAATTTGCCCTCTAATCATAAGTTGTAATATATTCTATGGTTTATACAATAAAGTAATGATTTTGTTTTAAATCACTATTTACAAAGAATAACTGTCCCAGAAATTAGGCGGTAAGTTTACTATTTTTAAATAGTAAAAAAAATGTTAATAATACTAACAAATTAGCTTTAAAATTTAAAACTAAATAAACAAGAAATTTTAATGTAATTATTGTTTTTGTACCTGATTTCTATATGCTGCTTCAGTAGGCTCAATAGCTTCACAAGTTGTATCATCTTCACCATCACGTAATCCAGCCAGTGCAAGTGTAAGTGGCGAATCAATGATCACAGATTTTGTTGCTGGCAGTAGAGCAGCAGGATTATACTCTGTTCTATTCATAGGGGGATCACTTGCAAAAGTCACATGAGCTTTTTCCATCTTTTGATTCATCACTGAAGGGGAAATGTTTTGGTTCATACATGGATTTTTATATGCATCTGTGTTGCATGAAACATCCCTCAAAGTTTTTCTGTCTACAGGTTTGTTATCATCGTCGTAAACTATCTGCAACCAAAATTGTTAGATAAATCTTATAATTCTAATTTGATGATAACAAAGTGTTTAAATACTTTTCTAGGAGCTCGAACACGTGTAGTTGGTAAAGGTACATTGTCAAAAGTACTCTGTGGGGGACAGTGAAACTCTTCTATACCATTCTCTTCAAATGATTCGTGGCGACTTTGTGCATGTTTTGATAATTGCCGAGAGACAGTTTCAGATTGTATGTTCCACGATTTTGATTCCAAGTCCTTTTGCTTTTGCATTATTTCATTTTTTAACTTTTCTTGTTGAAGTTGCTTCTAAATAAAAATTATTATTTTATAGATTAATATGCTGACAATCCAATTTATTGAAGGTGACATTCCATTTTATGTATTTCACGTATGTACCAAGCTAAAATCGTTTACAGAATAGTTTAAACTCTTATTTGTATAAAAATAAACATAATTCTCAAAAAACTAATTACTTATACATATATATTCCATACCTGAAGTTGAGCCAATATTCGTTTCTCATTTTCTTTCTCAAACTCCATCTTCATTTTTTCTTCCTGTTCTCTTGCCATTCTTTCGATAGCTTCATCTTCCAATTGATCTTTACGTTTTTGTTCTAATTCCAACCTTCTTTTTTCTTCTATCTGTTTACTTAAATCAAACCTATAAAGTTCTTGTTTTAATCTATTAGTTTCTTTTTTCCTTTCTTCATCAGCTAAAAAAAAAATTAAATAAAGCGATAATAAAGGAAATAAGCAAAATTAAAAAATTGACAATGTTGATGAATGCAAGTAACTTACATGCACATGATTCAGTTCCCTCTACAAATGTAGGTCGCTGTATTGTGGGTTTTTGATTGTGTACTAAATAAAAAAATTAATTTTTAATACATTTAGTTGTTATAAGTAATTTTTTAACAAGTATAATATATTAATCAAATCAATCAATACAACTCACCTTCTTTACTTTCTACTTGGTCAGAACTGTTATTATTTTCCTAAAAAACGTTAATTGATAAACATTACTTATAATTTATAAATTGAATGACTCAATTTCAGTTTGTTTATTCAATAATACTTTTAGCTTTCAATAATTATTTACAATATTATAATTTTTTTACAACATTTATCTATTAATTATATTCAAGTTATTAGTTAAGAAATATATTTGAAGGCAAATGTTTTTTTAGTGGCAGCGGTCAGTTAACACATCTATTTAGTCACTCACAATTATTTTACCATATTCTGTACCTCCATATAGCAGGGATCGGCTACTGGCGGCCCTCGAACCTTTTTTTATCTGGCCCGYGCTACATTTTCAAATTACTTCATATAATTTTAGAGCTTATCTGTGTTTTATTTTATTTTATTATGTTTTTCGATAAAATGTGTATATAAATTCTTATCTAGTTTTAAACCGAAACTAAATTATTAAATGTCTAAATATATATTTATAATGGCGTAGCTAACATAGTATTTATTTCATTTTCGGTTTAGTCATATCCGTACTGCCGTTAGTAAATTTAAAGGACCTTTTTTTTTTTTTTGCTTTCTCCTATGCATTGCGGCCCGCTAGATTTTAAAGTACTTAAAAGTGGCCCACTAGTTACTTTGAGTTACCCATCCCTGCCATATAGCAATAAAACTGCAATTATTCTGCAGTAAAGTGAATTCTTGCACGCTAGTTAGTTACTGAGTATATTTCTTAACTTGAATAAGATTACACTTAACAAATCARATATAAATTAAATCAATTTATCATAGTATAAATTACTATATAATATAACAAGCTCCACTATAACTTATAAAGACACAATTTAAATAAAATATAGATTTATATTTTAATTTGAAATCATTAAAATAAAAACCTTATATACTAAGGAATGACTTAATAATTAACATTTTTTAATCAATATCAAAGAAAAATTACATACCATTGCAGTTTTATATGCTTCTTCGCATGAATAACCTGCTAATTTTGGTAAATCTGAATTATTCTTATCTTGTTTTACCTAAAATAAGGTAATCAAAAACTGAATATTAAATAGCCACTATAGAGTTTAACATGATTATTACCTTTGATAAATATTCTACATACTCCTTCCTTTGTAACTCTAACATTCTTTTTTGCTTATCATCATATTCTCCAATTCCTAAGAAAGGTTTAGAATCTACTTGATTGGCTGGATTAAGCGGTGAATATTCTCCAAATCGTACATTTCTCCTCACCTTAAAAATGATTAAACATTAAACTATAAATTATTTTCTAGCAATGTAAATTTTATATGTTAATATATTGTAATAATTATCATAATTATAATTACCTTGATACCTGGGCAAATTAAGTCGTTTGTATTTTTGTTATTTATTAGCCTGGCTTTATACTTATTGACTTCCTGAAATCAATAAATAATCTTCTTTATTTTAAAAATATTAAATGTATTTAATTCAACATCTTACAGTTAAATGTGTTATATTACCAAATTAATACAAAAAATCCCCTATTTTTGCAAAGACCTAAAAATCATTTATAACACTATATTTCAGTATTAATGATATCAATAAAGACTTACATTGTGTGGTGTTATAGACATTTTTTCCTTCAATAATACTTGGTTATGTTTGACATCAGTACAATTGTTAATGTTATYTTTTGTAAAGAAACTAGGCGATTGAGTAAATAAGTTCGCCAACCTTTCAATTTCATTCACTCTGTCACATGATTGATTTAATTCAGGTGAACGTTTTTCTAAAGTTTTGAAGAGAGGAAAATTTTCTTTGAACACATTTTCATTCTCTTTCGACGATTTTTGTGGTACCTAAAAAAAATTAGTTATGTATTATTTAAATTCCGCTTTAACAGTAAGTAATGATTGAATAATTAATAAGAACAAAATAATTAAAAGGATATTTATAAGTTATAACTACCACATATTAGGTACCTATACTTAATTAATATTTTAGAAACAAGTAGTGTATTAATTATATAGATAATTAAAAATTTTAATTTTCTATTGACACGAATTTTGGTAATTTTGACAATTAACCGTAAGAATAGRCTATATTTATTGAAAATGTGCAAATGCGTGCATTATTTTCACTATGTACCTATGTATTTTTTAACACAAGTAAGTCGAAAGTTACCTTTATGACTTTTGATTTTTTAGCTAACAACCCAGTGTTTTTATCCATCTCGAGTTTTCTACTTTCTTGTCGAATTATAGTATCCAGTGATTCAATCATGACGGCATTGCTTATTTCACGTACATTACATTCCATAATAATTCGTTTTAAAATTAATCATGTATTTATGTACAACAAAACAAAATAACGATAGAATTATGAATTTTTTTTTTCAAAGTTTTAGACACATAAAATCAATAATAATAAGACGTTGTCTGTGTCAGATACTCAGACACGATACACAAGACAAGACTACAGTCTGTCAGTCTACAGTGTACATAAGTTAAAATTAGTTTTTGCCTTTTTGGCGTTTTTGCTAATAATTAATAAATGACTATTTTTAATCAGTCAAAAACATAAACCGTTTTTTTGATTAAAAAATTTCAAATAATATTGATAAGTGATAACTACAATACCGAACTAAATGATAACCTAAAAATTCA